GTGTCTGTGTAAAGATTTATTTTGTTTATTTGAAAGGCAGAAATACAGAGAGAGAGAGAGAGAGAGAGATGGAGAGAAATCTTCCATTGCTGATTTACTACGTAAATGCCTGCAATGGTCAGGGATGGACTGGTGTGAAGCCAGGCACCAGGACTTCTCCCGTCTCTCATGTGGCTGCAGGGCCCGAGCACTTGGGTCATCTCTTACTACTTTCCCAGGTGCATTGACAGGGAGCTGGAATGGAATTGGAACAGGTGCAACTAGTGCCACGTGGGATGCTGTGCTGCGGGCTGTGGCTTAATGCACTATGCTACAGCACCAGTCCCAGCTACAGTGGCTTTTGATCATAAGTAGAAGAGAAAATTGGCGAATAAACCTCCAGGGAAGGATGCTGGAAAGAGAAAGGGGCAGCAGAAGAGATCTTGGCTGAGGTCATCAAGTCTGTCAATCTGTATTCCTCTGCTGCTGACTGGAGGGACTCATGGCACTTTCACCAATGTTGGCTTACTTTTTTTTTTTTTTTAAAGATCTATTTATTTTTTTTTTTGAAAGGCAGATTTTATGGAGAGAGGAGATAGAGAAGGTCTTTCATCCATTGATTCACTGTGCAAATGGACAAGCAGCTGGAGATGAGCTATCTGAAGCTGGGGGCCAAGAGCTTCTTCTGGGTCTCCTACATGATACAGGGTCTGACGGACGTGGGCCATGCTCTGCTGCTTTCCCAGGCCATAGCAGGGAGTTGGATTAGAAGTCGATCAGCTGGAACATGAACTGGTGCTCACATGGGATGCTGGTACCACTGGGCAGAGGATTAGTCTGCAGTGCCACCATACAGGTTTCTGGTTGAATTTTAACTTGGTGACATGAAAAATGAAAATGGTGCTCTATTGTTGCTTTAATTTTTATTCACCTGTGACCGCCTCTTAACCACCTTTTAAATCTTAGCTGCTTGCAATTGCTTTCACTGAGTGACTGTTAACTTCTACTATTTGGGGTATACCATGGCTGGTTAAACATTGTTGAGTCAGGAAAGCATTTGTATTTTATTTCTGTGTTTGTTTTCTGAGTGTACTTTGAGTGTGGGAATGCTACAAGCTGATATATTTTCAAAGATCTATCAATTTTCTCAACGCCATCACTGATTTGTGATGTCCTCTAACCAGACACATTACATTTCATTTGGTTCAATTTCAATTTTAAGCTCTGAAATTGCAAGAGATGATGAAAAGATTTCCTTCCACTTGTTAAATGAAATCTTACATAAGAATCTTAACAACGTGCTTAAGTGAAATATGGAAAACGGAGCCAATATTCTTGCTGAAGACAAATGCAGGGAGTGAAGGCTAAATGGAAGAAAAGAAGAACATGAGGGGAAAAAAGAAAATGATGAAGTCATCAATGAATGGGGGATGGTTGGGAATGGGGCGGAAGAACATTACAAGATACACATACAATAAATATCTGTCGAGTCCTTTCCTTATTCAAGGCTTTGCAACCAAGTGGTGAGGAAGACAGGGTCCCTGCCTTCAGGGGGCTCAAAGTCCAGGGGAAGTTGGGAGACATCTGATCAACACACTTTAACCTTAGTGATGACTGCTGTAATGGCAACCAGCTGGGTGGGGTAATGGACAGAGAATGACAAGAAAACTGACGAGGCTGTGAAATCCTCAAGGACTGAGATTTGTGCCTGATTTGTTGAGTACCTCTGGCACTTAAACAAAGTTGGGCCTTCAGTAAGAATCTGTTGAATTAAGTAAACATGAGACTCCAAAGAACAGTTTTTCATTTGTGAAAACGAGACTCAGATGAGATGAGCAAACGACAAAGAGCTTCAGAGATCACACATTACATCAGAATAGGAGGCAGATTACAGTGAAATGGCATGACACTGACACAGGGATCCAACTGCTGCAGGTTGGGGCTGGAGCAGTGGCTCAGCAGGCTAAATCCTCTGTCTGCAGGGTCGGCATTCCATATGGGCACCAGTTCAAGTCTGGCTGCTTTTCCTCTGATCCAGCTCCCTGCGAATGGCCTGGGAAAGCAGCAGAGCACGGCCCAAGGCCTTGGGCCCCTGCACCCACACGGGAGACCTAGAGGAAGCTCCTGGCTCCTGGCTTTGGATCAGCTTTGCTCTGGCTGCTGCGGCCATTTGGGGAGTGAAGCAGCAGATGAATGATCTGTGTTTCCTTCATTCTGTGACTCTACCTTTCCAATAAAAACACATGTCTTACCATTTATAACGAAATGGTCCCAACTAGAGACCATTATGCTCAGTGAAATAAGCCAATCCCAAAATATGATCTCTCTGATAAAAGGCAATCTTCATGCATAATATAAGATCAATAGCCCTTTCAATACTGATTTTTCTGTAACTCACGGTCTTGATATTTTTATTTTCATTTCTCCAAAATAGTTTATTTTCTCTTCTTAAATTCTTCACTGACTCATAGGTCATGCAGTAGCATCATTTTCCCCAAGACAGTTTTTTTATTTTCTTTTCCATTTCTTCACTGACACATTGGTCACTCAGTAGCATGTTATTTAACTTCATGGTATTGTAAACCTCTAAACTATAATCTTGATGTTGATATTGTTTTATGGCTTTTCATTTAAGGGGATGTATAGCAACTGTGTAATGGAGACTATCATATCCAGATGTGATGATACAACTTAGTATACATCCCTACTTCTAGATCAAAGATGGACTCCTAATGAAACTGTTGGATGTATCTTGACAACAGAATGCTGGACTCTGCCATTGTCTGTACCTGCAATGTCAGGATACTTCAACAGTGGAATGATGGACTGATGGCTGCTTATGAAGAACTATGCTATTGTAATAATATAGGGGAAATCAGTGGTGGGAGGAGAGGGAATTTGCAGAAGGGTTAAGGGAAATCCCAGAGCTTATGGAAGTGTCTCACAAAATAAAAAAATAAAATTCTTTTAAAAAAAGGAAAAAATAAGTCTTTTAAAAATATTTTAAGAAACTGTTGCAGGAAAACTGTGGACATGATCTTGGGATTGTGTCCTGGTGTCAACGTGTTGATGACAATTCACCAGACTGGGTATAACCGTAAGAGTAGAAGTGAAGTTTTATTTCCATAAGGAGAAGAGCAGAGAAGCTGCCACAAAAGGGGAGGGGCTGATGGAAAATAGTCCAGGCCACTGAGATCTGGCATCCTGGGGTGGCTGTGTGTCTTCAGTGTAGTACCTCAAAGGAGCAAGTGCGGTGGCTATGTTAGCTACTGTTATGGCAGGGGCAATCTTTTCTTAAAGATTTATTTTTATTGGAAAGGTGGATACACAGAGAGGAATAGAGACAAAGGAAGATCTTCCATCCATTGACTCACTCCCCAAGTGTCGTGATGGCCGGTGCTGAGCTGATCTGAAGCCAGGAGCCAGGAGCTTCCTCCAGGTCTCCCATGTGGGTGTAGGGCCGTCCTCAACTGCTTTCTGAAGTCACAAGCAGGGAGCTGGACGGAAAGTAGAGCATCCGGACATAAACCGGTGTCCAAATGGGATCCCAGCATGTTCAAGGCGAGGACTTTAGCCACTAGGCTACCGCGTTGATCCCAATCTTTCTTTCTTTTTTTTTTTTTTTTTTGAAGATTTTATTTTGATTGGAAAGGCAAATATACAGAGAGAAGGAGAGACAGAACTACAAAGATCTTCTGTCTGCTGGTTTACTCTCTAAGTACCCACAATGGCTGGAGCTGAGCTGATCCAAAGCTAGGAGTCAGGTGCTTCTTCCAGGTCTCCCATGTGGGTACAGGGTCCCAAGGCTTGGGGCTGTCCTCAACTGTTTTCTCAGATCACAGACAGGGAGCTGGATGGGAAGTGGAGCAGCTGAGACATGAACTGGTGCCCATACGGGATCCAGTTGCATGCAAGGCAAGGATTTTAGCCACTAGGCTACCGTGCCAGGCCTGGCAGAGGTGGTCTTACTGGGACCCTTTTTAACTTGTTTCTGTTGAAACTTAAATCTTGCTTTCCCTGGGCACCTGTTTGTTGCAAGGGCCTTCCACGCATTTCTATTTAGTGCATACACGCTGGTGAGGAGCAGCAGTACGGACCAGTCTTGCCGACTTCTAGTCTGGGGCACTCTCAACATTGCAAGCTCTAAGTTAGCCGCTTTGATGTAAACCCCTTCTCGCCCCTGGATGATGAGTTCCTGTGTGGCAGGAATTTTAACTCTCCAGGAACTGCAGAACACACTATGGATATGCATTCCACAAATGTACGTTCAGGCTGTTGGATTTCTACTGAGGAAAAGCCGGCGCAGACGGCAATAGACGTACAGAAGACAGCTCGGACAACTTGGCAACATTTATCATTACTAACATTTTAAGTCTTCCAGAGTAAACTTTGAAATTACATTCTGATTTGAAATGGTGGTGCTGCTTCGACAAGTCAACTCCTGAGACATCTGAGTGCAGCATTATGAAAGAACAGGATTGTTCATCACCCCTTCACAACAGTGCTGATTTCTTTAAAAAGTGGGATTTTAATGTTCTTTATTCCTACAGTGACCCTTAAAATTTCTATGTATGCAATCACAGACGCACATATAAGCATTTATAAGCTTATTGTGTAGTTCTAAAGACAGTTGGGAAACCCAATTTTAATTTTGTTACTGAAATAATTTAAAAATATATTATAAAACTGCCTCTTTTCAATCAACAGCAAGGATCTAGAAAAAGATTATACAAGTAGGCACAATTTATTCAAGTTTATTAGTGTGAGAAAAATGAAGTTGCCTAACTCCAAACTGTAACAAGTTTACTTTATTTAATTCTTCATCTTAACCACTTGCATCAAAATCTGCCATTTTGTTACTTCTTAAAAAAGGCAGAGAGCTTACTCAATAATGTTTCATTATGCACATTAGCCATTAACACGCTTGAATGTGGAAAATATTTTCTAGCATTTGTGTAAAATTTTCCAAAAATGTTCCTGCAACTGTATTTTTTAACCAGCATCAGACGGAAGAGACTTACCGGCTTTTATTCATAAGGTCTGCTCCTCGTGCTTTGTAATAATCTAAATTTGGATGGAACTGATAAGTCACCGGCCTTGGGTTTCTCTGGAAAAAAAAAAAAGAAACAACCAATACATGAAAACACATAAAGCTACTGGACTTGAATATTAATATATAAAAAGACGATAATTTTTACTTCAGAAAGGAATGTGTGAAACGATGTTGATTAGTGTGGCTGAGTTTTGCCTCTACTGTTTCAGTTCTTTTATAATTGGTCTTACTTCGGCTTGAACACTGAAACTATTCCAGTATATTTTTACCTGTCTCATAGTTCAGATCATTCCTAACACTAGATTTTTGATGCCTTCAGTTTAAATATAGCTCTCAAAACACCAGATCAAATGACAAGAAAACAGAAAAACCGTACGAGATACAACACACGAGCAAACTATTTGTTTTGACTGAAGCGCTGAGAGGCACAAAGCAGCAAGGAGCTGCAGTGCAGGGGAAGCGTAACAATCACCGGTGGTTTCTGATGGCCAGGGTGCCAAGCAGATCCACTAGATGGCACACCAAGTCCTTCTTTCAAAATGAATGATTTATTTCAAATTGAGCAGTTGCTTTAAAGTTAGCAATTTCTATGTCGTACATCCTTGTTTACGAGTTTAATAAGTGCCCCAAACATGCCAGGTAGCAGAAATATTAGCAGGGTAATCATGATGAAACAAAAGCAAATGTATCAACCTACAACTTCACACAAGCATGGAGAAAGAAGTCTGCCCTCCCCGGCAACGCAGACACAGCCTTGAACCCTTTCATTACTCAAGTGCACCAAGCTCCTTGAGGGCAAGAAAATCAACACACTTCTGCTTTACACAACTGTTTACATACACACAATAAAGAACGTCATAATTTAAACGAGTGTTAATATCTCTGCCATGTTAAAATACTGCATCCCCATTTAAAAAGTTTTAAAACACTTCCAAATAAAAGTGTTTTCATATTTACTTGAGCACAGAATTCAAGTAATGATTGGGTCTCGGGAGCCAGAATATACATTGCACTCTGAGATACATTCAGACGCAGAAAGGCCGCATTTTATCTTTAATACAAAATTACCAATGTGCTTAGATATCAATCCTCGGAGCCATCATCTCCAGGACCGACAGACCTGCACGTGGGCTTGAGGGAGATGCAGGATATAATTGCTAAGGTTAAACAGTTTGAAATTCATCAAGCTAACAAGCGGCATCTCGCTAGCCACAAGGGACCTTTTCTTGCTTTGTTGAGAAGAGAATATTTACACAGCTCAACCCTGTCATGTTGCTTCCACGCCAGCCCTAATCATCTGACAGAAACGACAATCCCCTGATTTAGCTCCAGCTACGACTCCACTGGTTCCGTACGCAACACAGCGCGATGATAATCAAATCTGAATGGCCTTGATGAAGATAACTGATGCTTCCATGGCTACCATACTATTGGTCTACCAGTGCAACCTTGCTCTCTCTAGGAAATATACAGGTTTTCTCATGCTCGTTGATGACAACTGGGAATCAAGTATAGTGAGAAAAGAAAATGAAGGTCAAAGTCACACCGACAGCTCGACAGTGCATTCATGGTTTATTTTTAAAATGAACATACACAGGATTACTGTTCATGACTAATTTTGTTCTTTATTCTCAGTACCTGGAAATATAGGTTTTGTTTTTGTTAACAAAGAAAATAATGAAAGGGATCGCATGGAGCAAATTTCTTGAAACGTCTTTATAAAGAAATGACAGGCAGCTGAAGACCTGATGTGTTCATCTACTAGGCGCTTGGAGCCGTTATTTGGAATAATCATTTACTTTGAACACGTGAAAAGGCTCAAGTAACGTCTTCACTGAGGACTAGTTAAATTCCTAGCAGACTTGCTGCTAACCAAGAAAAGGCAGTGAAAAGTGCTACTATACTGGAAACAAAAACAATAAAACTGCAAAGGTGATGTTGACAAACAGCATTTCAAGCATAAATATGTAGACATAGAAGTAATCCAGTCTGGCATTGTTCAATGGAAATACAACGGAAATATGATGTGGGTCACAAATGCAAACGTCATCTGAATTTAAAGTGTTCTTTGGTAATACTTTATTCAGTTAAACACACTAAAATGTTATCACTTAAACAGGTAATCAATACCAAGTTGTAATGCTGTATGTTACATTGTTTCTTTCGTACCAAGCCTTTGAAATCCAGTGCATATTTCCTACTTCTGGCACATCTCCATTTGAACCAGCCAGATTTCAAGTGCCACACAATGTGACTGTGGCTAGTGTACTGGACAACACAGGCCTAGATGCCTCGTATGCTTTTACAGCGCTGTACGCCCGTATGCAGCAGCACATGGACAATGCAGTACTTTCATACACTAAGACTCAGGGCAGAAAGCCTTTGGCTTAGCAGTGAAGACACTCTTTGGTACGCAGCATCCCACAGTGAAGTGCTTGGGTTTGAGTCCTGCCTACGGCTAGGATGCTGGTTTCCCACCACTGCATGTACTGGGAGGCAGCAGGTGACGGCTTAAGCATCTGGGTCCGTGCCACACACATGGGAGAATCGAATTAACTTCTGAGCTGCTGATTCTGCACTGCCCCATCATGGCTGTGCCATGCACTTGGGGAGCGAACCAGTGAATGGAAATTCTTTCTTGCTCTGTCTTCCTGCGTTTCAAATACAATGAAAATAACAATTAAAAAAAAATAAAAAAGGGCCCGGCGCGGTGGCGCAAGTGGTTAAAGGTCCTCGCCTTGCACGCCCGGGATCCCATATGGGCGCCGGTTCTAATCCCGGCAGCCCCGCTTCCCTTCCAGCTCCCTGCCTGTGGCCCGGGAAAGCAGTCGAGGACGGCCCAAGGCTTTGGGAACCTGCACCCGCGTGGGAGACCCGGAAGAGGCTCCTGGCTTCGGATCGGCATAGTATCGGCCGTTGCGCTCACTTGGGGAGTGAATCATCGGACGGAAGATCTTCCTCTCTGTCTCTCCTCCTCTCTGTATATCCGCCTTTCCAATGAAAAAATAATAAAAAATAAATCTTTAAAAAAAAATAAATAAAAAAAAATAAAAAAATAAATATCAGTACTGATGGTTCTTTAATTTACCTATAATTCTTGTAGTTAATTTAGTTATATCTCTCCTGAGTGAGCTTTTAAAAAGCCAAAATATTTTGGAATACCTTCTCACACAAACAAAAAGAAACAAGACCAACAGTTGTAAATAATTATTAAAAACGCACATTTAAGGGTTCACTTATAGGTAAATTGACAGACAACAGGGACTACGTTGTCTGTCTAGGGAGACAAATGAACAAAATCTTAGCTTTAGTTAAATGAAAAAAATAGACACTTATTTTTATTTTAAAGGAGTTTTTCCCAAAGAAAACGGTATATTTACTCATTTTGGAAGTTAGAGTTACAGATGGGGTGGGGAGGGGGCAGAGAAAAAGAAAGAGAAAGAGAACTGAGTTGATCCACAGCCAGGAGCCTGGAGCTTCTTCTGGGTCTCCCACGTGGATACAGGGTCCCAAGGCTTTGCACCGTCCTTGACTGCCTTCCCAGGCCACAAGCAGGGAGCTGGGTGGGAAGCAGGGCCACCAGGATTAGAACCAGCGCCCATATGGGATTCCAGCACTTGCAAGGCAGGGGATTTAGCCACTAGGCTACTGGGCTGGGTCCTACTGGTTATGGTTTTTACACTAAACTGACAAAGTTCTTTTTTTGTATTTGTTGAACAGAAAACAATTGCTTATATGGATAGTATAATATATGTCTGGCATGAAAAAAACAAAGCATGTGACAAGATGAAGAATTACTTATTTTCTTTCATCCAGCATCTTGCTACCAACCTGCAATTCTTTCAGCCTGCAGGATTAGAAAAGAGGACGCACAAGGCTTAGAAGGAGAAACCATAGTGTAACGATGTGTCGAATGTTCCTCTTTGATGAAAAATGAGATTCTTATTATAGTGAATATGTGATTGCTTCAAGGCTGGGGGAAAAGCAACCATCATTAGAAAAACGAATTGCTCAGCTGTTCATGAGCAAAAAGCTCTGGGGGAATTTCCTGGGACCCCCCCAAGGCCAAGCATTCCAGGGCTATGCAAACATATGCTGCAGGTGTAGTCAGGGAGCCAGGTGGGCAAACCTCAGCCATGGCAGAGGAGCTGGTTTAATTTGCCGTAACTGAAACGAACTCCCCTAAACACAGCCAAGTGCAGAGAAGCCGTGCCGAGGGGAACCCGAGCTGCAGAGCAGAGCTCTCCCCTAAAACAGTTGCGAGGTAGTGCCAACCAGAGAGGTTTTCTCTTCCTGTGGTTTCATAGAAAGCAAACACAGCCAATTAAAAAAAAGAAGAAGAAGAAGGAAAGAAACAACTAAAGGTATTTTAAATCTGGAACAAAGAACAGCCTGAAATAGTGATAATTACCCAAAAAAGATAAGCATGAAGTATTGTTGCCTTTATTTAAACAAATATTCCTAAGGAGACAGTTTGTTGTAATATCCCCTCTTTGGTTCACTAGGCAACATTAGATTTATCATAATTCTCCTAAAGCCTAAGATATTTCTATATTAAAATGCTAATTTTGTCTTTTCTTTTGCCTGTAATTAAAGCTGGGGAAATCTGTGATTGCTGGAGGGCTCAGAAAGGTCTCAGCATCTCTCTCTCTTATTGCCACAAGCTGACCTCTTCATCACAGACACAGTTAACACCGGGATCAAACAGGCAGACAGCACAATCCTAAACGCTCACAAGGTCCCTCCGTTGTAAAGGCACAGGTGAACACACACACGTGTCAGTCCTCGGCGTGCGATCTGGGCGCCGCTGTCAGAGCGACTGCACACTTCTTCCTCGGCTGCTTCTTCGAGAGCTGGTTCTCTCTCTGTGTTCCTCGTGGCCGAGGACAACACTCATTTCCTATGTGTATTTATGTGGAAGAGGATCTTGAGCCACATTCTCTGTATTTAGATCAGTTCTTTTTCTTTTTGAAACAAATCACACTGTGAGCTAATTAATTTCACATACTTAGTATAAAATCAAGCTGCAAAGATGGAATAATAAGACCTGGTTA